CCCCCCCCCCCGAGAATTTGCTTTTTTTTTTTTTTTGCATAGCAGTTCCTTCGAAAATCAAGCTGAAAGGGTGGAAAAAAGGACAAAAGCCGATCCTTTTAATATTTTGGGGGGGGAGGGTCGTGGAAGGGGGGGCTGCGGCTATAGTTCGTTTAATTTTGCATGGTTCGTTCCAAATCTCTTTATTTTGTGAAATCCTCGACTCCATAAATGCTTGCTTAAGGTCCCCAGAGCATTAAATATGTGCATATATATGTGTGTATGTATGTACTTATGTGTGTATATGTATGTGTGTGTGTGTGTATACATATACATACATGTGTGTATACAGATACATACATACACACATATATAATACATATATAAATGTATGTGTATGTATGTACTTATGTGTGTATATGTGTGTATACATATACATACATGTGTGTGTGTGTGTATGTATGTATATATATATGCACTCATACATACATACACACACACACATATAATACATATATAAATATGTATGTGTGTGTATATATGTATGTATGTATAGCTTTACACATACATTTATGTGTGTGTATGTATTCTGATACATGCATATATACATATATATATATATGTATACATATTTCTTTACATTTTTTGGTTTCTTTTTCTGATAGGAGCAGTTGAAAATGTAGTTAGAAGGGGAGCATTATAATTTTGCTGGTTTGTTTTAAAATGATGCCCCCCATCTCAGTTTCCTAGTTTTGTTTTCAATACTTTTTTTCCCCTTTCGCTGTATATGCAATAACAAGGTTTATAAATGTAATAAGGAGAAGGGAAAAAAAAAAAACCCAACGGCAACAGTGGACACTATTGATAAAGTATTTATGTAATTAATGGATGACTTGTAAATACCTGGCCTATGAATACTCGAAATTAAAATTTAATTTATTGATATTGTACATATGTCTGTAAATATAGACTGCAGTTGTCTTTCTGGTTTGGTTTTGTTTTTTTAAAAAAACTCATTTTCATTTCAAAGTCAGGTTCTGTTGTGAAGAGTTACAACTTTAAAAAAGGGGGGGGTGGGGTAGGGATGGCAAGCAAAAAATCCATCAGGGGAAGATCATGTTTACATTTCCGATGTTTCTTTTCTTTTTTTTCTTTTTGTTTTACTGTGCCATTATAAAGAGAAAGGGGTCGTTTTGCTGATTTGGGAGGGGTGGGAAGGGGGAAGCATGCAAAATGCAGAACAATTGGGGAAAGACTGTACAATGGCTGGACATCGCTGGATGCTCCCTGATTCTACCCCTGGTAGAAACGATTAAATAAATATGTAAATTAAATACCGACACACTTCTCAAGTAGATTTGTGAAGAGGGAAGGGGGGGAGTTGTGCTCATTTAAAAAGACAAAAAAGAAAAGAAAACCATTGCTATTCTCCCCCCCCCCCCGCCCCAATTGCCCCATATTATGGTTGGTTGCATGGTCAGCCAGATGTTTAGTCCGGATTTGGCATTTTTTGTTCACCAGTCCTTCCCAAGGACCTAAGATAGGCAGATGTGAATATTTGAAGGTGTTAGAAATTTGAGGATTTAAGCTGTTCGGGACTAAAGATGCCCTTTGCAATTGACCGATGGGGATAGTGTTCAGTTGCTGCTCCAGATATTTTGGGGTCGCACCCAAGTTGCTTATCCCTATTGGGTCTGTCTTTGCTTTGTTTTGTCACAGTCCTTCCACTTCTATGCGCAGCTCTTGGTATATTTTGTGACTTTTCCCTGGTTCTTTCTTTTTACTTCTGCTGTCTCCAAGGTACTGCCACAACCATTATCCAGACATTTTTTTCCCCCCTTATTGACAGTTGTTTAAATCTGGGATATTCTGTGGCAGGTTATTATTATTATTATTATTATTATTATTATTCTTGGAATATTGAGTCCGACATTTTTACAGGTTCAAAATCTAGTGCCGAGCATTGTTGAAACCAAAACAGAAATAAATAGATTTGTGGAAATGGTTCAAAGGCTTTCCCACTTTCCTGTAATCTCCCCCCCCCCACTTCCTAATTCAAAAGAAAGTTGCTTTTAAAGTTGCAATTTCAACCTACTGTATTTTCTTTTCATGGCTGCATCTTTGAGGATTAACTGATGTACCTCGAGGGGGCCTGTGTCCAAAACGTTTCCACCAATCTTTTTGAATCTTTTTGAACCTGGATTCCTTTGCTTTTTGGGAAGGGAGCTAAGATAAATTTCCCCCGCTCCTCCTACTATTTAAAGTGGACCTGAAAGCAGGTGGTGCCACTACAATCAGACCTGTGTTTACTCAGAAGTAAATCCTACTGACGCCAATGAAGGCCGAAGCTTGAAAGGGCTTATATCGGGTGCAAGTTTCACCCAGATTTGCACGGGGGCAAGCGTCTGCCTATGTTTAAACCACATTTACTTGCTGGGTAGAGGAAAGTGGCCGGCTCATTGACGTCAATGGGATCACACACAAAACCGATTTGTCTCCATTACTTGTTGATCTTCTCCTGCCCTTTCCAAAACTCTTGCCCCCACTCACCCCTGTGCTCCCCCCCCCAAAAAAAAACACAAGCCTTTTGCATTGCAAAAAACCAAGACAAGCGCTATTCAAAGCTCAAACCAAAATTTCCCCCTTCTTAACTTTTTGCAAGTTTGGTCTGTGTATATAAAAGGATTCTTAAAAAAAAAAAAAAATCAGTAAAACCAGGGGTCTGGACAGAGCTACAAAGTTAATCGAGGCAGTTCAACAGTTAATTTACTAGCAGGTTTTTTTTTGTTTTTGTTTTTTTTAAAAAAAATAAAATTCTACCGGGGAATAGAAATCAAAATAACTTCAACCTTCTATCCGGCCTCTCCTCTTTTTCTCTTCATCTGTATTTATGATTAAGGGAAAATATTTATACAGCTCACGAGCCTCCGCCAAGCAGGGGCGGAGAAAAGAGGGCTGTAAATCTTGCGGGGAGTCAAGAGCGGAGTTTCGGCCCCTTTCCGCAAAACTCTGGAGGGTCAACCCCAAGGAAGGAGCGGACCGTTCACACAACCTTTAAACCCGGCTTCTGGATCAGCGCCAGGTTCGAGCAATTCCCACCTTGGAGGAGGGGGGAAAAAAAGTATTGGCTATATCGTGAAGACTCGGACGACGCTTGTCAATATCAGAGGAAATAATAATACTATTAAATCTTCCCCTCCACCCCATCCCTGGTTCCATCCTCCACTGAATTGCGCGCGCCCTTCGGATCCACACCGGCGCTTCTTTGAGGGGCCGGGAAAAAGCGGGACGGTCGAAATTCTGGTTAGAATCATTCTCAAAACCAAGCAGCGGATATTCCCCCCCCCCCCCCCCCCCGTGGCCTTGTAGCCCACTCTTTCCCCGCCCGCCTCCCTGGGAAAGCAAGAGAGGAAACCTATCTTATCGAGAAGAAATTTCGTTGACAAATATTTGTTTATGTACTCTTGACGAGGCGGCGGGGAGTGTTAGATAATCCAGACCGGTTGTGCTTTTAGTTTTTGGGGTTAACTTTTCAGATTTATTCTTTTAAAAAGTTGGGTAACTCTCTCTCTCTCTCTTTCTTTTTCTTTGTCTCCTTCTTTCTCTCTTTGTCTTTCTCTGTTTTTCTTCTTTCTCTCTTTGTATTTCTTTGTATCTCTCTTTTCGCTGTTCCTTTCCTGTTTCTCTTCTTTCTTTCTTTTTTCTCTTTCTTTTTGTTTCCTCTTTCTTTCCTTCTTTCTTTTTCTTTCCTTTCTCTCTCCTTCCCATTTCAGTTTCTACATCTGTGCCTTTATGTGCCTATGTAAAAACTCTGCAATCCCTTAAAGTCCAGGTAACTGCAAAACTTATTTCTCTGTAACTTTGCCTTTCATGAAAAGCTGAGGTTCTCTGCCAGTTCACTTCGGAATTAGCTTGGTTTGCTTAGAGGCACTTACAGAAGGTAGGGTGTGTGACCTATATATATATATCCCCCTCCATCTTCCACACGCACCCCAAAAACAACTGAATGTCACACCTCTCTGGTTAAAATCTCCAAAGCAGGTAGAGGCTTTGCTTCCGAATAAAAAAGTTTGAAAGCAGCGCCTGGCGAGAGGCCTCTTCGCGATCTATTCTCCCCTTGCCTCAAATTATCAGGAGCCCTTTAAACGACTGAGCGAAAGATGAGGGTCTTAAAAGAAGGAGCTCCGTCGGTAGATCCTGGGAGTGTCCCCCCCCCCCTGCTACTGGAGTGGGGTGGGGGGAAAGAGAGGCGTTTGAAATGGAGGCCAAGAGAGCGAGCCAGCTTCGGTCGATCGAAGCGGCG